TACCCCTCATCCTATCACTACACTCCCTGATAAAGAGACCCTCCCCAGCTCTCCTGTAGGTCCCCTTTAGGTACTGGAAAGACCTTATAGGTCTCCCCGAAGCCTTCTCTTCTCCAGGCTGAACAATCCCAACTCTCTCAGCCTCTCCTCATAGGATAGCATTGTTGTGGGTGGCAAACGCTCTCGGCGTTCGGCTGAGGCGCTTGCGGAGCTGAGGTGCCCGCAGCCTTGGGGGGTGGCTGTGAAATATTTGCAGTTTTGGGGCCGAGGACACTTAAATTCCACCCGCTTAAGCGGAATGGTTTGTGGGCCAGAAATTTAATTCCCGGGTATTCCGTGGAGCAGCAGCATTTTCTCAACACCCCTCGTGTAGCCTGTTCAAGCCAGGCTTTAAAGTGCTGTCTTTTTAATATTTTTCTTCATTTCATGTGTTTAGAATCACAGAACAGCCAGGGCGGCGCGGGGGGGGAAGGGACGTGGAAAGGTCATCAGGGCCAGCGTTTGGTGGGAAAGGGAGCCTGGATGAGGTTTTCCAGCACCCTGTCTCATCGCATGGGGAAACCTCCAGCGATGGAGACTCTGCCGCATCCCGCAGGAAGATTGTTCCACTGAATGATTGTTTTTACTGTTAAAAAAAAAAAAAAGAAAAAAGTTTTAATGATCACCTTCTGCTTCAATGTCACTGTTCATTTTTGCAGAGATCGAAAATTATATAAACTGGGATTAAAAGGGTTTTATGTCAAAGATGACAACGACAGTACAGGTAAGGTAATAAAATGTATTATGCAATATGAAGTGCTGTTAAAGGGAGTTATGTGTGGTTATTTAAGGTACGGTAGGACTGTATAACTGCTACCCCATAGTTTTGTTCTTATTTCTGGCGTGTTTTTCAGTACTTTTGTTATGGGGATGGATGTGGGTAATAACTTAGCACTTGCATAACTTTCGAGTTACGATAATCTTGATGTGGAAGTTTGTGTCAAACCAGGTGTGATGCTTATTCCTGTTTGCACAGATTTAGCAGCTCACACAATCCCTACCTGGTGCACAGAGCAGATTAGCTCCCAAGTGCCTGACCTGCTTTCGGATGATAATTTCAACTTCCCTAGCTCAAAATTAATGATATAATGGAGGGTCTGCAAATCCTAGCTGTTTGCTTGGGAGTAATACTGTCCTGCTGCCTCTACCCTGGCCTAATACATTAGCTGTTGCTGATTAATCTGCTGGACCAGAAGTATAGAAGAAGCAATAGCCCTGATGGGGGACATTATTATTTGCATGTACATGAGGAATCGTATGAGAAGTACTGGAGGAGTAAGTCTCTCCCTACTTGCTTGTATTTTAGGAATAATCATGGTGCGTGCTCTGCCAGATTCAACACCAGTCCTTCACTCCATCCTCCTGTATTCCTCACACATGCCTATCTGAACATAATTCCTTTGCTCTCTGATTTTTACATTGCTGTCTAGCCACAGCATCAAATAATAGCTTGATTTGAAAGGAAGGATTCTGGACAGAAAGGAATGTCCATAGAAGCTGAGAATGAATAGCACAGGTTAGATGGAGGCAATGTGAGTGGAGTGAAGGAGAATGTAAACTATGTTTTTGTGCATGTGTGTCTGAACTGTGGTGAGAGTAATCAGTCAAAAACAGAAGAGTCTTGCGCTGTGTGATAATTTTGCAGTAAATATACTCCGACCAAAAAAAAAATCTTAATTTTTTCAGTTTTATCAACTGTGTCAAGAGCTTTTGTATTTCATAAGTTTCATCAATATACAGTTCCTACTTTGAGTGGTACTGGTATTTTTATATACATATGATGTTACCTAAAAATCTGGTAGATGTGCAAGCAGTGTTTCCATAGTTGATCAGTTATTTCTGAGATAATTATGTTCTCTAGTTCACACATAACATTTTTGCAAAAATCTTATTGTCTTTCTTAGTGTGTTTTTTGAAAGAGCAGCAGTTTCTTGATTTTTCAGCTTGCTCAGATAGATGCCAAAAGAACTGCTGTAAAGCATTTTCTTTTCAGAATACTAATTTTTCTTTTGTTTGCTGGGCGTTACTATAGTTTGCTCTACAAGTTATTGAGGTGACTGACTGTGGTGGGTTGACCCCAAGCACCCATATCCTCTGCCCCAGTTTTTATTGCTGAGCATCACCTTGTACAGTTTTGGCTGCCCCTTCAGACTATTTGGGTTAGCAGTCCCAGCTGTGTCCCCTCCCAGTCTCTTGCCCACACCAGCCTACACGCTGGGGAAAAGAGAAAGTTATGATGCTGTGCAAGCGCTGCCCAGCAATAGCCAAAACCTCGATGTGTTATCTACATTGTTTTAGCCACAGATCCAAAACACAGCCTCACTCGGGCTGCTATGAGGAAAGTTAACTCCATCGCAGCCAGGCCCAGTGCAATGTTTTGGCTGTCAAAGTTAGATTTTGATTCCTACTGATAGCTATACAGAAAATAAGATGCTTATAATGAAAATTTTGAATGGGAGAGGAAGCTTAAGAGGCAGTTCTGAATTTTTGTAGGCCATGCTGTGGTATCGAGGTATCGGAACCAGATTATATTCTCTTAATATAATTTGTTCATAGGGGAGGAACAAGCATCCGAGGAGGAGAACCGTTGTCCCAATGCAACATTAAAGGTGGATATTAATCATGCTCTTGACCTGGAAGAAGTCGAACTAGACTCAGAGGCCGAGCTTATGAAGAGTATGGGATTGCCTCTTCAGTTTGGCGGGCAGTCAGCCCACAGGGACTTTGTGGTAAACTTTTATTTGCTTTATTTATTCTGCTTACTTTGTGTTTCCAGACCTAGGCACGTGTCTGCTCCTTGGTTGTTTTTAAGACTGCAGTTCATGGAAATGTGTCCGAGCTGGCTTTAAGCTGCTTGCCTTGTGTACTTGTAACAACTTACAGCGCTGTGGTCTGTGCAGTTTGTAAAATCCACCTGCCAATTTGACTAAACAGGGTCAGGCTGTGCTTTTTGCTTCCATATCTATATTGCTCTTGTCACTGGAGAGAGCTAGTTTAAAACAGCCATGGTAACGTTGATGCTCTGCTTCAGAACAACTAGTACACTCCAAACTGAGCACCTGTATTCACACTGTATGCTTTAACCATTTGGATTTAGATACTAATTTAAAAAGCTAAGTTCCTTAGATCCCCCTGTAGCTGCTAGAACCAGGCTGTTCCAGAGGGCAGGAGTGAGGTTTGGGTGCTCCACTTCCCGTAGAGAGTGGTTGGGCTTTAGTCTTCATCTAAAGTTTTGCACAGATGAGAAGAAGACAGTGGGATATCCCCAATGTCCACTTTGTAGCATACAGACCTCCCTGGCAGTGAGAGAGTACTTTTGTGCAGAGCACTCTGTGGTTCTGACCTGATTAACTTGTAAATAAATAGGAGAAAGTTGTACCTGGTTTTAATTGATGGCATGTAAATAGACCTTACGGGCATCCAACTTCAAAGATAAGGTATACACTTGATTTGTGTTGCTAGTAATACTGCAAATAAGTTCAACAAGAAAATAATGTATGTTTTTACTAGATTACTAAGCATTGTGCTTTGCACTGCATATATTAACATGACGTTATGAGGGATGTGGATGAAAAATTAATACCAGTTCTCCGAACCTAACTTCGTTATAGTCCCCATTATCCATTTGTCAATGCAATAAGACTAGGGATTGCAGCTGATGGGACATTTGGAGTAATACCTGCACATTTGGAGTCTTTTGCCCACATGTGTTGTAGTCCCTCATCACTGCTGCCTTTTTACCTGCCACACTCAGTTTGGCAGTTTATGAAAAAAATTGGCAAATATATTTGATAGAACAACTTGTCTTTCTTGGATGTTTTTATCTTGTATATATCTGTAAGCACAGGAAGCCCCGCTGAAAAAAGTGGAGTTGTATTTGATGAAACCAACAAGTTAACCTTAGTGTTTCCTTTTGGTAACAGGTTTCTGTCTTCTGCTCCACTAGACAACCGTAGTAGTCTGAGTTTGTTGTAACAAGTGAAATGGTTGTATTGCACAAATGAAATGAGGAGGCTGTTTGCTTGTGTTTGTGTTAGCCAGCTTGGAGATCAGCATGGGACGGGAAGAATATTATACCACTCTTTTGGGTCAGGGTCTTCAGACATACAGAGATTCAGCTGCAGGATTTACAGAGTTTACAAGCATAAAGCGATGCCTTTTTGTTTAAAGCACCCAAAGATAGCACGGATTTAACAATCTATTAGGCTGAACATTGTATGTTCACTATCCTAATAAGACACCTGAACAGTGTTTGCTGTCCAGGCAGATACCAGGCGACAGTAATGGTCAGCCTCCACGGCCCCCTGAAACAGGTCCTTGATGTTACTGAGATACTGTTTTACTGTTGAGCTCAGCCCAGTGACCCCTCAATCCCTGATCAGTCTCCCTTTAGGATTTTATGGTGTTTCACGTTGATGTCTTTCCTTCTGAATCCTTGAGCTACTAATGACTTCCCTCTCAGCAGCCCCACTTCCATCTGTAATTCTGCCTTTTTGTGTATGTGTCTTTCTGTAGACTTTCTCACAACTTCTTCAGAAATGTCAGCCAAGGTTATGCATTGGGGCCCTATCAGACCCATAAACCCTACAACCTTTTGTGGGGAGAAAGCTAACAGCAGGGTTATAGTGAGAGGGGGGTTACAACAGAAACAGAAATGTGCTTGGAGAGAGGATAAGAAAAGACTGCATGTATGTCGTGGACTTCTAAGTATGTTTTTCCATTATATTTTAGGCAACAGAAAGTTACAGAAAGAGAAGTAACATGAAGATTATGAAAAAGAAAAAGAAGAAGCAAAAAGAGTTGCAGCAAAAACATGAGGATAAAATGGGGCAGGAAATCCAGGATCGAGCTTGCGGTGTATCCAGTCCATTTCTGGTGAGCTGGCCATAGCTACAGAGCAGTGTGAGAAGAGCAGCAAACCCCAGGCTGTATGTGAAGGGAACTGTGGAAGTTCAGAAAGTCTTGCAAATGAGGCTTTACCCAGCGAACTTAAAGAAAAATGGGAGAAGTACTGGAGTGAGTACGGAGAGGGCCTTCTCTGGCAAAGTTGGCTCGAGAAGCATCAAGAGGTCTCATCATCTGAGGCCACCACAGCTTCCGAGCCTTGGAATAGTCCAGACACCAGGGAAGAGTGGGAGCAGCATTATAGCGAACTGTACTGGTATTACTGGGAGCAGTTTCAGTACTGGACAAGTCAAGGATGGACTACTGAGAGCTCACATGGTGACAACATGGAAGCTAATGGGGTTACCCAGGAGACGGGTTTTTCGGGAAAAATGGATTTGGTTAGCCCAGGGACTGAATGCAGTGAAGTGCTGAGCTTGGAGCTGTCTCCCTCTATCCCCAGAAGCGAGGAAACGCTCCCTTCAGGTGCTGAGCCCCACAGTGAAATAATCTCTGGGATTTGTAATTTAAATCTGAATTTGGAGGAAGTGGAGCAGAGCGGTGCAGCTCTAACGGTAGCCTACCAAGGTCCTCAAGAGCGTAGTTCATCTGACAGTGAAAGCCAGAAGGAGCCCTGCGATGGAGGAAACAGGAAGAGGAGTGCATCTTGTGAAAATAAAACTATTAACCAGTCAGGTAATATAAAATCAGCTAAAATTGATTCTACCAGAATTTCTCTAGGTGGTTACATATAAGAAACAAGGGTATATCTGTATTACACCATTTTTAAAAAGTTGAACAAGTATTTTGTGGAATGATAGCATGCTTGATTCCTTTTTCTTCCTTCTGCTTGTCTGGACAATTTCTCTTCTCTCTAACCTGTATATTGAACGTGTTCTTCAGCCAGAAGTGATTTGAGTAGAACATGTACTTCGTAAATCTTCAAATGTACTACAGAAGGTGGTGAGAGAGCACTTTTAGTGCTTATTTGTTTATTTATCTTACCATTGGTATTGCAGCTGTGTCATTCAGCTGATGTGTCTTTTCTCACTGATTGTCTAAAATGAATGAAAACTCAGGTTGATGTTCTCATGAATCTGACAAATTTTAAGAACGGCTTTTTGAGGAAAAAAGTTCTGTAATTCTGGAGTTAATGGGGTTTTTTTGCCTTCTGTCTGAAAATGCCATGCTTGAAAATAAACTCTTGTTTTGTTGTACTGTGTTACTGTGGACCAGATGTCTTCCAGAGGTCCTTTCCAGCATTAAGTTATCGATCAGTTGGTGAGCTGTAGTCATCTTTACAACCCCAAATTCATACGTTCACAGCTAGTGCTAACAAGTGAAAGTGCCAGGTAATGTAGCAGTATGGTGAAAGCCAGTGGCTGTGCCTCACACTGGGAGGTACAAGACTGGGCTGGAGAGGTTTTTGCCAGCTAGTTTAGCGTGCAGAGAAAGGAGAGAGCCATCTTGTTTGCCTGCCAGTCCTTCCCGCTAGCATTCGCTGTAAGCAGCAGTGTAACATCTTTGCTGACTGTTGTATGGTCCCTCCGGCTGAAAAGGAGGGACGAAGCATGTGAGTTAAGCGTCAGCAGCTCGGGGCTTCAGTTTGGTGGGAAACCTCTGAGTCTGCTACTAGTGACTTTCTAAGGAAGGAAGAAGCAGGTGTGGTCCCATCTTGATCCTACAGTATAGTTGGGCTGGGAGGGGTGAAAGGAAAATCTCCTTTCCAACAAGAAATGAGTGGGGCGTTGGAATTCTCTCTTATTAAATGTATGTGAATATCTTTGCATAGCTAGTAAAATAGAAAAAAAATTACGCACAAGGAAGAAACTGTTTTGAGTTTGTACCTTGTAGGCATTTTATTTTTCTTGGAGAGCTGACGTAATTTGAAGTTGGTCCTGCTTAAGATTATTAACTGTACAGTGTAGCTAATACGGGAAGCTTGTATTGATATGTTGTCCCTCAAAGAAAGACAGGTAAAGCTATGTGTGTTTGGCACTTGGGCCTTATTTGTCAGATTCAGGTATGTCTGACAACCTAACTGTAGCTGCAGATGTACTTTGGGGACAGGAATATAAAGAATTCATTTATGCAGAAGGAAAATATGATCTCATCTATCTTCTTTAGGTTCACGGGGGTCGTGTAGCTCGAATTCAAATGACAAAGAACAGTTGCTGCTTCATGACCGAGATGAAGACGAGGACGAAGAGCCTCCTGAATACAGACATGCCAAAGTCAAGAGAAGGCAAGTCATGAAATTTAGGCGAGTTTTTTTTCCTCAAGAAGCCCAGGTCCAGAAGCCTCCTGATTTATAGTAACTATTTGATTGAGATTGTGAGTTAAAACTTCAGTACATAACCACATAGTCTTCTGTCACTGCTTACCACTTTGCCTGGCGACAAGCAGTGGATATTTCTTCTTTTCTGTTGTTTTATGAAAACAATGTACAGCCTCGATGACTGTGCAAGGTGACAGTACTATTCCTGTGCGACTGAGGTATACAAGATTGTTAAATTGGGTAGGACAACTCGCTTATCTAGGTCTAATTAGTGTAGATGATACAGGAACAATAGTAAATAACTTGTGTTGTTTAACTGAATAGTATGCTGCTAGTAAAGTGCTCAGTGCTATGGCAATCATAAAATAGCTAATCTCTACCTTGTCATAGTGTCTTTCTTCTCTAAAAATTTATAGCCTCAAAGATGATGAGATGGTTCTTCCTCTCTAATAAATTTACAAACTCAAAGGTGAAGGGATGGATGGAAATCTGCTAATAGTGTAGCTTTGGGTTTGTTCTAATATTTTGCTGTTGCCATGGCATTAATAATATAGATAACATAACAGACGATAAAGGTAATTTGGAAATAGGCTGAACAAACACTGTCTTCATCAGTTCCATGTAGGTCTTAATGGTAAATATTTTAAGAGGTCATTTGGAATAGTTGAAATATTATAACCGCAATAGAAGGACATATATCCGTAGAATCGGGTTAAACAAAAAAAAGTATGTGCTCATGCATATGAATAGGCTGGTGTTATCTGCCTTGCTTGGTTTCAGCAGTGTGTGGAAGAACTTACTGAAGCCCACATTGAAATGTTTTCAATACCTGAGTTTCTTAGTGTTATAGCTGTAAAATAAGAGTGTTTTTTACAGTAAGTAATTTTGTCATATGTGTTTTTTCCTAGCCATGAACTGGATGTGGATGAAAACCCTGTGGAAGATCCTGAGGAAACCTGCTCTGTTTTGGGCTTCAAGTGTGGCACAGGACAAAAGTAATTGCTTATGAGGAACTCAGGGGTTTTTTATAAGTCAGCTCTCTTGTGATTATTCAAATAGACCATTCATCTCCATTCCCAATTTGTTAAACTTTTGAAGATGATTCCCAAAGTTAGTCTCTGCTCTTAATAAAATTTGTCATCCTTTGGCGAGAGAGAGAGATGCAAAGTTAGAGAGACTAATTAAAGAACAAGAAAAGTGCTTTGAAACAGAAGTGTAACTTGTAAGGTACTTGCAGTTGTGTAAATGTTAACTGGCTGGTCAGCTACTTAAATTAGAGCTTAAATGCTCTTACAATGAATGTTCCTCTCAGTTTGGAGTCCTGTGAGCTTAGATCATAATTTATATCTGTTTCATATTAGAATGAGGTTGCTTTATGCTAGTAAAATGTTGCTGTACTAATGAAGTGTTGCCAGGGTGTTGACCAGTGAAATTTCATTTTTGGTGGTACAATCTAAAGATATGCTGGTCAGTGCTGTAAAAGTAATATCATAGGACACTGGTGGACTGTAGCTTAGCCCTGGCACTTCTGCAGAATGCAAGGTGTTTAGTACATATATATATATATATATGTTTCAAAGAGGGGTATGTTTTGTATTTGTAGTTGACAATCTCTGTTCTACTTTTTAAAAATTATTTAAGTGAATTGCCCATATCTCCCTTTTTTTTTTCTTTTTTAATTGCATTTGCCAGGAGACAAAAGTGGCTGTTTGGGAGGTTCTTTAAAGCCACCAAAAAGATACTTTATTCTACTAATAAAGATATTTTTTAATTTCCTATTCTTCAGGCTGGTCTGGGAAATTGTTTCCACCTAAAGTAATACACCTATTAGAAAAAAAAATTAAAAAATCTAAAACCAATTTGGGTAAACATTTTCAAGTAAAAATCTTTAAAATTTTCATGAAGGTACATTGTTTTGCAGCTACGTTCAGTGACATATATTTTAAGAGTGGTGTCTAATAAATAAATAATTTAGTCTAAATTTTCTGTAGACATCAATGTTCATGTTAAAGCTTCCAGATTGGAAATTAATCAAGTCTTTTTATTTATGTATTTATTTATTATTTTTTAAATTTCAGGTATGGTGGAATTCCAGATTTCACCCACCGAAGCGTGCAGTACTTGGAGAAAAAAGCAAAACTCAAGTCCAAATTCTTGGATATGCGTAAACCAAGGAAGAGCAAAAACACACACATCTTCTTTGCAGAGGAATCTGAAACGTCTTGCAAAAAAAATAAAACTTTGAAGAAGGTAGATTTAATTGTTAGTGTTGCTGTGATTCATAGATTTATCTGCTCCCTTACCTGTTGCTGAATTATGAAAATGTAAAATATATAAATTGCCCAGAGTAGGTGGCCTTTTTTAAGTGTCAGTCCACTGCTCTTTATTCTTTTTTCTAATTTCCTTGCTTAGATGACAAGTGGTTAGTTTAGAGTGGGTACGGAAAAGCATTGGTGGACTCTTGCCAATCTATCAAGAGGAATGTGAGCTTAATGGTGAAGTTCTGTGAAAGTCGTTCCTAACATCTGGGTGCATCATTCCTTGAGAGGTGTGTGTAGGTTTTTGTAGTTACTAAAAGCATCTCTGATTTTAAAATGCACGTGAGGGCATTTGTCAGTGCTGGCAGTTCAGCAGTGAGAGAAGAATGTTTGTATGGGTTAGTGTATTTCATGTAACTCCATGTTCTTAGTAATGAGTATCAATATTTTTGCTTATACCTCTACTTGCATTTATTTTCATCTATACCTTTATGCTTAATCTTTTTTTTTTAGCTCAGAAATTAGTAATGAGTAGAAAAACTTGTTCACTGTAGATTTTTCTTAGTTGAGTCTCTTTAAAATCTGTTAGCTCAGATTTTCAAGGTTACTTTTCTGCCTTCAGGGATGCTTGGCCTTCTCTTTCTCCTTTGCACACCCAAGTGTAGAACACCGTTTTCTGGTGGTGACAGCACATGTTGTATTGAACTTCAGTCTCATTGCTATAACTTTTGATTAAAGGCTTGATCGTCTTGTACCTGAAGCCAGTATAGTTCGAGGGCAACTTTAATTATGTGAAGATTAAAAAAAAAGTTACAAATTTCCTCACACTTTCTGGTGAAGAACTGCCCCAGGCCTAGTGCCGCTCAGAGCAACTCTTAACGTAAAAGCAAGCATCTGCGTATGCCTTTGAAGCGATTGAACTAGCATCTGCACGTTGGTTAGGATGTAATGTTGAGTTTTCTACTGTGCAGCAGAACCCTTTAGCACATGCACCATTTGGTACATGTTGGAGCTGATGCAACTAGTGTGTGAAGTTAATTTTACCTGTTTGTCCAAACATGGAAGGCAGAATTCTCTGCCGGATCGCTTCTTTGCATGCAGATCAGAGAGAAGGTAGTTAATTAAAAAGTAATAGTCTTGGTTGGTCTGACTTTTTATGTTTCAGATATTACTTGAGAATGATTTTATGGTATTTACAGTTGATTTTGTGGGGTTTCTCTTTTGCAGGTAGTTGATATCTAGTTCCCAAATACAGCTTGTTCATAAAATATTGTAAAAAGGGAGCAGAGTTAAGGACTTGTGTATCCTCCTGAATTTTTTGACTGTGGATATTTTACTTTTTTCAAAATACATGTGGTTGAGAGTGTATGTGTGGCAGGTGCCTTTGAACTCTGATGCTTTTAAACTAGCTTTACAGTTCAAAAGTAAGCTGATTAACAGTCTAATCATCCATGATATTTGACAATCACAGGTGGAGGAGTTCCTAAAGCGGGTTAATAAGCCTGGGGAGGAAGCCACATCCCGGACAGCCTCTCCTCAGGGTAAAGCAGAGGCATCGCCTGCGAGCAGTGACTCGGAGGATCAGGAAGGCGTTACTGCTGCACAGACTGTGACACTGAATGCTGAAAACCAAAAGCCACCATCTTCCAGCACGGCCTTCACAGAACCTGGAGGGAGTAACCTTGAGGAGGAAGCACAGGATGCGGCAGCGAGTGGCTCCGATGGCCAGGGTGCGGGGAGGCAGGAGCATGGTTGCGGGCGGCAGCTGGTCTCTCTGGATATTCCCGATTATCTCCGGGCAGAGACAGAGGATGTCAGCCAAGGTACATCAGTTTCCCACAAACTGGAGATGAATTGGCAGTAGACTTAATACTGCCTTCCCAAATTACAGCGTTGTGTGGCATTTATTTATTCTGTTTATTCATAGAGACTCATTAGGTCCAAAGGGTGATGAGGCCGATTGAGAGCTATGCTGGTGGAAGCAGCTTATTCCTCGAGTGCCAGAATCTCAGATCTTGTCTTAACATTGGCAGTATTTCTTTAAACAGTCATTGTTAATCCTAGACGTGATCTAACAGGTCTCCAATTCACACCATTTTCCCCCTGTAAGGATGAGGGTGATTAACGTCAGGTAGGTACACAGACCGTTAGGTTTTGGGTTCTCAGATGCACGTTGCTGAGCTTTGGGGAGCATGTGTTGTTAAAATTATTTTCTAGGGGGAAAAAAAAGAGCTACATCATGAGCTTTTCTATTTAGCACAGTGAACAAAGGAAAACAGGATTATTCAGGTTTCTACATATAGTTTAATCATTCCTACAGTAATTCAGTTATGTTAGATTTCTACTGTAAAACTCTTGTCTAGATTGGTTCTTATTCCTTATTTATATAAGAGCATTAAATTGGTCTCTGATCCACTTGCTTGCTCACTATGTAGAGTGTATTGCCATCAGTTGAAGATAATGGCTAGCCTGTTAAGGCTCTTAAACAATAGGTGAAGCGTTATGATTTTTAGGACTGTGACTGTTACCTGTCAGGTAACACTATTCCCTTGAAATATAGCATGCTCTTTTTTTCAGTTTAAACCACTAATCTGCATAGTCTGGCAAATAGTAATAAAGAACATTTAGCAGTGTTGTTAAACATGAGCATCTTATGTCTTAACTCTCACCTACCTACCAATTACATTCCTAGCCTACAAGAACAGTGATTGTTAACTTTTGCAGTGTCTTCCAGCTGTAGATGAAAAAATTACCACAAAGAAGAAGGAGAAAAAAAGGAGGAGAAGGAATAAAATTGCCCTGGGATCTATACCTGCTGAGATTGCGGCTGATCCAGAGCTGGTCAAGTACTGGGCACAACGCTACAGACTGTTCTCTCGGTTTGATGAGGGAATTAAACTAGACAGAGGTGTGTTTAGTACTTGGTGGTACAAGATGTATGCAAACCTGTGGCCCTTCTTGCAGCTTATTACTGATTTTCTCATAAGAGGAGCATTACTGAGTGTGCATTTGCACCTCTGGATAAATTGCACGGCAGGTGAACAGAAGCTGGAGCTTCTAGCATGGGACACCCCTCTTTGCTTTAGTCCTGATGATTTCTGAAGATCGTACTGTACCCAAATTATGCTTGGTCAGGACTTTTTCAGAAACTCTGTGACATAATTCTATATCTTATAAAATAATTTTTGTGAAACTTCCAAATATGCTGGTGGACCTAGTTTTGTTCTGACTTTCAGCAGTCACTTTCAAAGTTACTTTTTTTCTGTGTTTATGTGGAATCTACTTCCAAATCATAAATTTGTAGGTAAAGGAGGAATGAGTATTGCTGCTTTTTTGTATCTTGGGTTTGTTTTTGTAAGCCTTTCACTTTTAATGCTCTCCCACATAAACATGTAGATTATTTGGCAGACCAGATGTTGCTGTAAAGAAAACAATGTGTCAGATAAGAAAGAATATATTTCTGGTTTTATTTGTTATGGAATGTAATTGTGATGTATAAAGTTTTTCATAGCTGTCTCAGTGGGCTTGTCCTTGATAAGCCAGAATCCTCAGCACCAAGTTCAACAAAGCATTTACTGAAATTCAGGCATATCTGTTTGCTTAGCAAGTCGCTGGACTGACCAGAGTTTATCATCTTCAAAGCCTAGATTTCCTGGTCGAATGCTCTAAGCCAAAATTGTTGGGATTAATGTTAAACCTTCAGTTGTGTGTGGGGGTTGTTTGGCTGTCTTTATTTTAGGTGATCTTGAAATAAGAGGCGAAAATACTTCTTCCCTTTCCTTTGCAGAGGGATGGTTTTCTGTTACTCCTGAGAAAATAGCTGAGCATATTGCTGTCCGTGTTAGCCAGTCATTCAACTGTGATATCGTAGTGGATGCGTTCTGTGGGGTTGGAGGAAACGCTATTCAGTTTGCATTGACCTCAAAAAGAGGTAAGCAGGTGTTGTATATAGCACATTATTTTATTTCTTAAATCTTTTCCCCTTAAAGTTTGGGTATGCACTTTGTTCGCTGATTTTTATTGGGTTTTTTTCAGTACTTCTGAAGTGACAGAAGCTTTTTTTGCTTCATCAGATTCACGATATGAGCTTTGGTTTTCAAAAAGGACCTATAAAACTACTTTTCCATTTTAAGTCATAGTTGGGTTTGTGTTGTACTAGTCAAAGTTATTTTTATGTGGCATAGTAACTAGTCTGTCAGATGCTCTGAAGATTGCTGGTAAAGGTTGAGGTTTTTTTGCAGTACCGACCTGCAGAGATGCCAAAAAGCTGCTGCTTTTCCCACTTGTTACGCCAAGTCTGTGTACTCAAAAGCAGGTTACATACGAATAGTACTTAAAACACTTTAATAGGATCACCTGCAGGTGCAGCAGAATCAGATACAGAAAAGTGATGATAATATTAGTCTAAGTTCCTGTTGCCAGCTAATGAAACTGCAGTGAAACATTGAGAGTGCTTTCTGTGGGGAAAAAAAAAAAAAAAAACAAACAAACACCACAACGTTATCTACTTGATATTCTTCTACTCATCTAACGCTTCTGAATAATTTCTGAGCAAGAGAAATGGTAGTTTCTGCTGCATTAAATTTAGTATGCTATGATCCATTCTATAAATATTTTTTTAAATTTCACTTAGCTTTTTGTATTTCCTGGCTAAATTTTTATTTCTATGATTATGTACTGCCCTTGTATCATCTCTCGTGCTGTGTTGTCGGGTGGGGTTTTTTAAGCTCAATTTTCAGTACAATGTGATCAGCCACAGATAAATGCTTATCCATCACAAAGGAGAAGAGCAAGTTTCTAATTGACACCCTTTAAGCTTTAAGGCTTCTACCAACTTTGAAGTGAGGAGGACTTCCTCTCTTAGGTGGACAGCCTTACCTCTCCACTACTGGAGCTGAGATGGAGGATTGTCATGGTAGTAGATGTACGACTGCCAAAAGCTAAAGCTTCTCAGCTTTGCAACAGCAGCTGAGCCTTGGTTGCGTGGCTTCCCTTGCTGGTTTGTGAATGCACCGGTTCTGCTCGTGGTGGAACCTCTGCTTTTGTCACACAAGGACAGGTCATTCCCCTCTGAGGAACCATAGCTTCATGTCTACCATGACCTATAAAACTGAAGTAGTCACTCACCACACAACAGTAGATGATAGATTGACTTTTATCTGGTGGCTGCAGAACACCTTCCTTCTGAAATGTCCTTTTGGTGGTCAGGTGGCATTCACAGTTCACGTTAACCTGTGTATTTGCTCTCTCTTTCATTTGCAGTGATTGCTATTGATATTGATCCTGAGAAGCTCAGTCTTGCGCGCAACAATGCTGAGGTGTACGGTGTGGCGGACCAGATAGAATTTGTGTGCGGAGACTTCATGGTGCTGGCTGCCGACCTGAAAGCAGATGTTGTGTTCCTCAGCCCACCCTGGGGGGGCCCTGACTACGCTACTGCCGAAATCTTCGATATCCAAACCATGATTTGCCCAGATGGATATCCTTTCAAAGTTATGCATTGTTGTGACTTTCAGTCGTTTACGAGAGGCTTCCTCTTTCTTCTCCTCCCTCTCTTGACACGGGCTTTGCATATCCAGTTGGCTGACTGGGGATGATATGACCAGCAGCTGAAGTCCCAGATTTGCTGCATTTCTTTAATTCTCCCTCAACCTCAGTTATGTGATTTTGACCACCTAAAATTAAATATTTTTATTATATTTTTTATTTTTTTTTAAAAAGTCAGTTATTTTTAAAAGTAAAAAATCCTTTACAGAATTGTAGTGGCTTCTTAATTTAAATCATTCTTTCAGCAGTTTTAACTCCTTTATATTATTTTATTAAAATACCCTGAAGTAATCAAATAGCCATGTGGTGTCTGTGTATATATAGGTAATAATTAGTTATGTGAGCTATGACTTTGTCATTAATTCCACTTTTTAGTTGATTTATAAAAGGTATATCTTATTTAGAATATCCTACTCAAACTATTCTCAATGGTAGCGCCTGCTGATGATTTGGGAAATCACAGAAGATTGCAAGCAAAATATTATCACTTTTAATGTATAAAATTCTGTACTAACTTACTAACATTGGTGTTGAGCACTTGTTCATCTGGGAAGATATTTGCACAATAGTTTCATCAAACATGAAGTGTGGTGGGCTTTCCCCCCCCCCAGATAATCTCAGTTGTTTCCTTTTTGGCTAAAATGTAGCCATATTTGTAAGAGTAAGAAAACCTTTTTATGGATGTGCAAGAGAGAGATTCCATGAAATGCATTAAAAAACAAATATGAAACCAATGTACTAGTTATAAACTACATTCAAATTTCTCAAATACTTCTTTGTAGTTCAGTTAAGTTTTCTTAAGAAGTGAGGTGGCTTAGGTTTGGGGTTGGTTTTTTTTTCTACTTTCTAGGGCAATAGTGGTGAAATAGATGCTCTTCTGAAATGCAGAAATTAGTATTGTCTAAATGCAGAAACTCTAACTCATACACCTAGAAGACTAACTATAATTTAGTTGCATAATAACTCAATTTGGGACTTACTTTCAAAATGAATGAGTATAAAGCAACTTCTCCTTCCCTATTCTTGTTTTTTCCTTTACTGGCTTCTACATTTGAAATTTTCAGGCTCTCCAAGAAGATCACCAACAATATTGTCTATTTTCTACCTCGGAATGCTGACATTGACCAGGTGTGTTACTGGGTAAGGGCTTGGTAATTACAGAAAGCTCAGCTGGCTTAAAACCTAAGTATTATAAGCACAAACTTTAAACTTCCAAAGTTTGATCAGCTGAACGTGGGAGCTTTTTTTGTTTTCAGTTCGAACCTTATGTTAGGTGATTTCTGGTTTTGCAGTACTTCTGATATATTTAGAAATGGAAATAATAGATTATTTCCATGATTTTGATACTGTTCCTTCATAAAGCAACAGATTGGATGTTCTTATAGAAGATCCAAAGCCAATACATTTCTTGAGTGCCAGACAGATACATCATTATAAAAGAAAAAAAAAATTTAACCAGCTCTTACTGTCTGGTAAGTTGCTGAGTCCTAAACTTTCATGGCTTTCAGTTTATGAAGGACTTGCAAGAAATCATTGTACAGCCTGCAATCACTAGTGTCACGGATTAGTAGATCAGAGACAAATGTCATGCCACCAGAGGTGGTACTGATGCTGTCCACACAAGTGTGTGGTTCCAAATGTGCTGCTTGCATTGCAGTGATTAAATAGTTTGATACATCGCTGACTTGGTTAGCACACAGTTAGATTAGGTTTTTTTGTATTAGAGATTTTTGTTAGAATTTTTTTTAAAGTAATTAGATGACTGTAAGAATTCCCCTGAGTGTCTCGTTTAGTTTCCTCTGTGTATTTTCTATGTTAATCACGTCTTGTAGCTTTTTGCGAAGAAGGAAGCAGTGAGGTGTTCTCACCTGCAACGTGCTGCAGAACTTCCCAGGATTATTTCCTGCTTTTCCAAAAGCTGTGTCTGACTTAGAGCAGGCAAGGTCTCGTGCCACATGGTGGCTTGCAGAATTATTGGTGGCAAACGGCTGGCTTGAGAAACAGGCTGAAATTCACATGGCCTGAGTATGAGCATACTATGAGCCTGTGCTATGCACAGTACCATTTGTGCAGCAGGTGATGATTCAGTTGCATTTTGCATTTCAGGCTGGTGAAATGTCAAAGTGACTTATGAATCTTTGAACAGGGACCTTAATTTTAGGCAGTTTCTCTAGTTTCAACTTCTAACCCCACTGCATTTTATCAAATATTTCATTCCCATGACGAAGAATGACCTTACCAGGTTTCTGCTCCGCTTATGAGCACTTTTTACCAGATTTATAAATGGGCAAAAGCATCTACATTTCACTTAGGTTCCCACAAAAGCATCTAAGAGTACTATCCACAGGCCTGAATCTACGCCTGCAGAAGAGCTCGGGTTTGTTGTCTTGCCACCTTTATATCTTGGTCTGGTTGGCTCTGGATGTTGTTGATGTGCTTTAAGTGTTCCTTGAGGTACTTCCATGGGTTCGCCTTTACACAAATGGCTGAAGAGTAACTGCTGTTGCTCAAAGACATGGCTTTGTGGTCATGGCTCAGTTATTAAAAGCACATGGCAGGAGGCCTGGGTTCAGTTCAGTCGTCCAGGCTGTGGGCTGCTCTCTGGAAAAGCAATCAGCTCCTCGTACCTTTCTGTAGAGATTGTGAGTTAGAGAGTATAAGAAAAAAAACCCTAAAGGTTAATCATCTGAGAGTGGGGAAAGAGGATGTGAATAGCCCACTGTTTTGGGAAATGTAGTCTTAATGTTGTGTGGACAGAGGTGTGTCAAACTTCACCATCCCAAACATGACCTTGGTGGATCCAGAGGAGACTGGTTATGGGTTTGGCTGCCATCACTCTGGCTGTGTTTTAAAAATTAAGTTTCTGAACTTACTGCCACTACACTTCCCGGGCTGTGAATCTCCAGAAAACCAGAAGATTTATCATTGAAGTTCCTTAATGGTTTGCATAGATGGTTGTCTCCTCAGTTTGCTCATGGTTTTGCCCACAGTTCTCATCCATCTTACTTTTCTCATGGAACAGATAGGGTGGCTTCTGCTGCAACAGCTGCCTTGGTGAGGGCCTGTGGACACCACTGCTAGGCTGTAGTGATGTAGCTTGGCTTGTGGATGTAGTCCATAAACTCTAGGGGCCTATAAAAGCTTGATGAATCTTAAACTCTTTTTGCAGGGGATTAATACCTGACAACTAAATAACTTGGATAAGGCAGTATTTGCTGAACAGATTATCTGATGCCTTAGATTTGAGTGGAAACTGAAAAACCTAAGTTTAATTTGTGGTAACATTGCTCAGGCATGTAAGATTTGCCTCTTCTGTGTCCTCAAAAGTTAACTCTCTATACTCATACACATATATAAGGTGGCCTAATGTTCTTAACATGTAAGGTGACAGTTGTTAAAACTTAAGTACCCTGCCATTGACTGGCTTGAAGCTACAATCAAGGTGTGCTTGTGTGCTTTGTCAATTAAAATTGATTTAATAGAGGACTTAATTGCCATTGTGAGCTTCCATGAGAATGTTTATACTGACTGTAAGCCAGTGTATCAGTGCAAGTTTGCTTGTCTGACAGTGGATCTCAAGCAGAAATGGAAATAAATGTCCAGCAGTTAGAAGCGACTTTACAATAAAAACCTTTAGTTAAGGTGGTGTAAATTAGTTAAGGTGGAAAATACGTGCTGCTTTTTACTGTTAGGTAGCTAACATAGAATAGGGATCCTGCTGCTGGTGTGAAAGCAGGTGGTAGCTGATCTCGACCTAGCTGTGTCGGAGGACTCGGTGTTCATTGCCTTATTGGTAGACAGGATATCCAACCTTGTTCCATATGATTTTATTGCAAAAACAGTGCTTCTTATGTCTGCAGGCATGGCCTTTTCTGTGTAGAATTAGTCTTGTAGAGACAGATGGGGTTCCTTCCTGCTCTGGTGGGGGGGTTGGACTAGATGATCTCCAGAGGTCCCTTCCAACTCTAACCATTCTGTGATTCTGTGGTTCTGTGATCCTTGAATTCCATTACGAAAGTCACAGAGTTTAGGTGGAAGAGGAGAAATGAACTTCTGTATTTCTGCCTCGAGAGGGAGCAGCGAACCAGTGGAATATGGTTGGTGTCTTTACAACAAACGTGAAACATTTCCCTTAATTGCATCAAATCTTGTTTACAATCATGGACTCGTTACAAAATTTGTAATACATACAGGTCCATTTTTAGGTCAAATCCATCTTGCAAAATATTCTTTCTAGTTAAGGAATAATCAGGAATTATTATATATATGCGTGTGCACGTACATTAAATATATTGTTTTATCAGTAGTGCCTATTATGTAGTTCATGTGTGACACTCTTGTCATACCCATCTCTTTGCAGCATCTTTACATCTGATTCTCTTTCTTTAAGTTTTTTTCACATCCCTTAAAAAAGAAAAAAAAAATAAAAGGAGGAGAGGAGGAGTTGTGGAGACTACCAGTCAGAAGTATATTAATACTGCTTCAGTTCTGGGGGGCTAAATTTGTATATGGCTGCCAGTGGTGCTTTTGAAAAGCAAAACAAAAAGTTTGACCTACTTAGAATTCCCACAAAGTAGGAAAGAATTAGAAATCACTGTTTCAAATAGGCTTGCATATTTAAATCAAAATTATGCCCCAGCAAAATGAAGTGAAAACACTTGATAAATACTTGGGTAGTTGAAAGCTGTTCTTGCCTTCTATGAGAAGAATTAATTGTACTAATTTAAGCTGATGTTATTTATATTAAAAAAAAAAAGGCACAAGAATATACGTGCCTTGGCAAAACTCAGATGAAAATAAATTTCCTCCCCGCCTCTGTGCTGTTGATTGACTCTACTGGCGACAGGGAACCTTCCCCAACCTCCACCCCTTTCTTGGTTGGTTCATTTCCACCAGATCAAGGAGGAAACAGGTGATATCTGCAAGTGATCCTACATTTAGGTCTTAATACTCCATCAAAATGTAACAGAGACCTCCGTGAGCGACTTGAGAAGCAAGCTTGTTGAGACAGAATGGTTAAATGTCTCTGAAGTGTTCAGCAAGCTGTGCTCTGCCTCATTGTGCAGAACGGGAAGTGTGTACTCGCCTCAGGGACCAGGACTCATCCCAAGTAGCACAATCTCTTGCATGGACTGTTTATTGTACCAGATAATACTTCTGTATCTTAATATTAGTAGCGAAGGAGGAGGAACCTGGGATTTGTTGCTGTAGGACCTTCTTCCTGGTGGTGGGATAGCTTCTTTTCACCTCGTTGCAGAAGACGTGCTCAGCTACGTAAGATACCAAAATACACCCTCCCAAGTGTTCACATACTAACGTAGTGATGCTCCTGACTCTTCTTGTAAGGCATGTGAGTGCTGCTGTTGAGGTATTTACTGTTCTCTTCCTGGTGGTCAGAATGGAGTCAGGCTGCTTGATGGCTCCCCTCAGTAAACAGATGAGCCTAAAACATTGGTGACCTGGTATGTTGTGAGACAGATGATGACATCAGTGTATTTACCAGCCTCTCCAAGTTTGAGAGACGGTACTGAGGAATCGGGAGCTCATTACTTATCCTGACTGTGGATGGTTAACTGCTCAGATACTGTATTGTGCTTTAGTGATTATCCTAAACTTCTTCACCATTCTTTGAGGACAGTCATATTTGTACAAATTTACAGATAGTGGTTTAATTCAGAAACAGATTTCTCTCTTTTAAGAAAAAGACAGTCTTATGCATATATGTTTAGCATGGGGTTATCTTTAAGTCTTTCTGATTTATTTTTTTTAGCTGCTGGAAATGTTGCATATTTAACATCTTGAGCATACAGTAGCGCAAGTTTTAATTTTGGGTCGCGTGTTAGTGTATCAAAACGGCAGGATAATTTAGGCCAATTTTCAGATAATGTTTCAAACTTTATGACACTTATAGCAGAGCAAGCAAATCTGTTAGATAATATTGGTCTGCTCTTCAAACAGAATACGAGTGACTGCTAATTGAAGATGATTCTGAGAGTAAAATGCCTGATTATTATTCAACTTGAGAGCTAGCTTTTTGAGTTAGAAAAGTTTTGGTCTGTCCAAGGGCCAGCCTGTGACAAAAGAAAAAACAATGCAATTTGCAAGAGATTTGCCGGTGTCCAGAAACC